GCACCACTGCACTCCAGCCTGGGCAACAGGGTGACACTGCCTCTAAACTTTTTTTTAAAAAAAGAAAGACAACAATGATTAATCTTTACTCTGACCTCAGGCTTCCCACTCTTAGAAGAGCTGGGTGGGCTAATGGGCTGGCCTGACTTTTGTCTTTGTCTCTCCCCGCCACCCATCAGACCACAAAAGTTGTTGCTGAAATTCCTTTTGTTCCCACATGCCCAATGATGACAAATAGGTTTTAGTGCTCTGCTAATCTGTCCAGGCTTCTGGCTTGATTTGGATTCGTAATTTTTAATATTTCTTACTTTCTTGCCAGATCACCAGGGCATAGTATTCAATATTTTCCCTTATTTTCAATCTGCCTATCTAGGTTATCATACATGCAGAAATAGGAGTTAGGACTAGTTCTCTGTAACTATGTTATGAAAAGAATAAGCTATGCACATTGAGATAGTGAACAGCATGATGCCTGGGAAAATGGGAGAAAGTACATTCAAACAACAAGGCTGGGTGATGTGTCAGGAGAGCCAGAGAGCTATGCTCAGCAGACGGAGCCAAATATGCACATTGTGGCAAAATTTATTTGGATTATTTATTGTGAGCCTAGTATTCCTTCAATTTCATAGTAGAATAATATCTTAAGCACACACAGACTGGCTAAATAAAAGAACCAGATGGTCAAAATCTGAATTTAACAACTATATCAAACGACTGGAGTTTGGTGCCATTTATAATATCAGCTTCTGGCTGAATTCTGAGCATAAATTCTGAGCATGTCTTGTGCTCTGCAGCTCAAGGCCTCTCGCACAGGTGCATCTGCGTGGCGAAAGCCATGCTGAAGGCAAGACAGAAGCCCTGTGTTTCACTTTCCTTCTTGACAAGTACAAGATCAAAGGGTAGAAAAGGTTTCTCTTCCTCTAGGTGGTAGGAGTAAATGTTGTCGCTTCTCAGAAAGTTAACAAAAAATCAAGTCAGCAGAGCACATGGACGAGGAAACGCGTAGTTCAGCGTGCAGTCAGACTGCGCCGAGCCTGCCCTCTGGATTTGGCACGGCAGTTTTTCCACTGGATGTGTCAGCGTGGACATACCCCCTCACGCAAGCCTGAGCCAGCCATGCAAACTCCCCAGCCTCTCTTTCTCTTATACCTTATTTTGGAACCCTGTTGTAAGACTATTAAAATATTTATAAAACTTTTACGTATTGCATATAATGCATTGATGCCAATTGACACAATGGATGGGTACTGATGCAGGATAGAGTTTTTCAAAATTCTGTGGTTTTTTACTATATGATCAGCTCGAATGGTATGTGAAATACAGTATTAAATTGCAGTGCTGAAACTGCCAAAGGTCAAATAAATACTTTTTCCTCCAAAATATGTACAATAATGTTTTATTTAACCAGCAATAGTGGGGACCTAGGTATTTCATAAAAATGACTTTTACAAGTAATTGAAGGTTACCTTTAGAGAACTTTGACATTTTAAAATTTTAACGTGCTAGGATGGAAAGCATTAAAGAATTCATTGCCAACCTTCTGAATTTAAAAATAAGAACACAAAAAAATAGAGAGTAATCAAACCCATGTTTCCACCACACAGATTTTCCTTCTTTATACATTGAGGATATTGAATTCAATGTAATATTTTTAAAATAAGTGTATGTTATTATTGTAAACATCATTATCACACCATGCTGTGTAATAAAATATACTCAGAGGGGTTTGTGGCATACAGGGATGGTTCAAAATTTTATTGACCTGGTTGTAGAAAATATGGAAAGCATAGAGAAGAAAATAAAAGTGACTCTAAGCACAGCAGCCCGAGGGTGATCATGGTTAACATTTTGGTATTATTGCTAGGTCTGAATTTTGTCAAAGGCCTTCTCTGCATCAATTGAGATAATCATATGGTTTTTGTGTTTGGTTCTGTTTATGTGGTGGATTACATTTATAGACTTGCATGTGTTGAACCAGCCTTGCATCCCCGGGATGAATCCTACTTGATCATGGTGGATAAGCTTTTTGATGTGCTGTTGCAATTAGTTTGCCAGTATTTTGTTGAAGATTTTTGCATCTATGTTCATCATGGATATTGGCCTGAAGTTTTCTTTTCTTGTTGAGTCTCTGCCGGGTTTTGGTATCAGGATGATGTTGGTCTCGTAAAATGATTTGCGAAGGATTCGCTATTTTTGGATTGTTTGGAATAGTTTCAGAAGGAATGGTACCAGCTCCTCTTTGTATGTCTGGTAGAGCTCGGCTGTGAACCCATCTGGACCTGGGCTTTTTTTGGCTGGTAGGCTATTAATTGCTGTCTCAACTTCAGATCTTGTAATGGTCTATTCAGGGTTTCGACTTCTTCCTGGTCTAGGCTTGGGAGGGTGCAGGTGTCGGGGAATTTATCCATTTCTTCCAGGTTTACTGGTTTATGTGCATAGAGTTGTTTGTAGTCATCTCTGATGGTAGTGTGTATTTCTGTGGAATCTGTGGTGATATCCCCTTTACTGTTTTTTTGTTTTGTTTTGTTTTTGTTTTTGTTTTTTTTGCATCTATTTGATTCTTCTCTCTTTTCTTTTTTATTAGCCTGGCTAGTGGTCTATTTTGTTGATCTTTTCAAAAAACCAGCTCCTAGATTTATTAATTTTTGAAGGGTTTTTTTGTGTCTCTATCTCCTTCAGTTCTGCTCTGATCTTAGTTATGTCTTGTCTTCTGCTAGCATTTGAGTATTTTTGATCTTGCTCCTCTAGCTCTTTCAATTTTGATGATAGGGTGTCGATTTTAGATCTTTCCTTGTTTGTAATGTGGGCATTTATTGCTATAAATTTTTCTCTAGACACTGCTTTAAATGTGTCCCAGAGATTCTGGTAAGTTGTGTCTTCTTTCTCATTGGTTTCAAAGAACATCTTTATTTCTGCCTTCATTTCATTGTTTATCCAGTCAACATTCAAGAGCCAGTTGTTCAGCTTCCATGAAGCTGTGCGGTTCTGAGTTAGTTTCTTAATCCTGAGTTCTAACTTGATTGAACTGTGGTCTGAGAGACTGTTTGTTATAATTTCTGTTCTTTTGCATTTGCTGAGGAGTGATTTACTTCCAATTATGTGGTCAGTTTTAGAGTAGGTGCGATGTGGTGCTGAGAAGAATGTATATTCTGTGGATTTGGGATGGAGAGTTCTGTAGATGTCTTATTAGATTTGATTGGTCCAGATCTGAGTTCAAGTCCTGGATATCCTTGTTAATATTCTGTCTGGTTGATCTGTCTAATATTGACAATGGGGTGTTACAGTCTCTCACTATTATTGCATGGGAGTCTACGTCTCTTTGTAGGTCATTAAGAACTTGCCTTATGTATCTGGGTGCTCCTGTATCAGGTGCGTATATATTTAGGATCGTTAGCTCTTCTTGTTGCATTGATCCTGTTATCATTATGTAATGCCCTTCTTTGTCTCTTTTGATATTTCTTGGTTTAAAGTTCATTTTATTAGAGACTAGGATTGCAACTCCTGCTTTTTTTTGCTCTTCATTTGCTTGATAAAGCTTCCTCCATCCCTTTATTTTGAGCCTATGTGTATCCTTGCACATAAGATGGGTTTTCTGGATACAGCACACTGATGGGTTTTGACTTTTTATCCACTTTGCCAGTCTGAGTCTTTTGATTGGGGCATTTAGCCCACTTACATTTAAGGTTAATATTGTTATGTGTGAATTTGATCCTACCATTTTGATGCTAGCTGGTTGTTTTGCTCATTAGTTGATGCAGTTTCTTCATTGTGTCAATGCTCTTTACCATTTGATACGTTTTGGGAATGGCTTGTGCTGGTTGTTCCTTTCTGTGTTTAGTGCTTCTTTCATTTTCTGATTCTAGTGACTTCTGAACACATTTTAGTATATTCATTGATGATTTGTATATCTTCATTTGAAAAATACCTCTTTACATCTTTTGGACAATGTCTACACTTTGGGGAAAATATCCTTTGAAGAATGGAAATGCATTCATTTGGTGTACCTATTTAGTCATCTGGTAGTGCAGACCTATCTCATTTATCGCTCCCAAAAGATATTCTTTCTTCTCCTTCTGTTCCTGCTTTAATTTAGGAGGCCTTAGTCTCTTCTCATCTGGATTTCAGCTAAAAGCTCCAACTGATCTCCTTGGCTCTAGCCTTACTGACTTCCTTCCATCATAGACACAGCCTCATAACCACATCATTCTCTTTGTTAAAATACTTCAGTTATTTTCATTCCATCTAAGTAAAGCTGAAGCCATAGTGATTTTGTCTGTGAAATTTTAAGCTTTTAAGATGTATTAATGTAACAAGTGGTTTGAAAATATTAGCAATAGTTTTCTATAAACAGATTTCCTCTTTGTGACTGCAGTTGGATGGTACATATGTTCAGGAGTGAATCAAGGCAATAGGTGTTTCCTGGAAGATGGTTTTGTTGTTGGGTAGAAGGTTTTAAGTGTTCTTTCACCAATCATCAAGCAAATGTCAATTGACTTTCTTGCCTGTTATGTAAACTAGTAAAATTTGCAAAGCTTTCTATGACCTGGCTCCTGCATACACAGCCAACCTCACCTTTCTGGCACATAGCAAACCCTCAATGCGTTTCACGTAATGGATGACACTGATCACTGTAAAGGAGGTCTGAATGGCCCTGGTTCCCTCACGCCCTTGAGATGTCGCTGTACCCCACTCCAGCTGCTTTCAGACGACAGGGACGTGTATTGGAGCAGTGATTCACAAACTTTTCATTCTTAGGGTCCCTTTACAGAGTTAAAATTATTGAGGACCCTTAAGAACTTTTATTTGTATGGGTCATATCTATCTATGTTTAACTTATTAAATATCAAAATGTGAAATTTATAAAATATTTATCAACTCATTTAAAAATAATATTAATACCAACATATTTTAACATAATTACATATTTTATGAAAAATAATTATGTTTTCCAAAATCCCAAAAATTAATGAGAAAAGGGAAATTATTTTCCTTTTTTGCAGATCTTTTAAATGTCTGACTGAAAAATGACAGTTGCAGACGCACGAATGAGATCAATCCAGATTAGTAAAGTCTGGCCCAGAAGATGAGACCTACTCCAATGAAGACAGCTCAAATTGCCAGCCCAGAAATTGTGAGTGAAATAAAAGTTGTTATATACGCTGTTACGATCATGGGTTCTCCAGAGAAGGAAGCAGGATATGTCTATGAGAGGCAGAGATGTATTTTAATGAATTGGCCCGCACTCTCGTGGGACTGGGAGGCTCGTAGGCCAGAGAGCCTGATTCTGCATCATCTGCAGCCCAGAGACTGTCTGGAGGCAGGATTCCCTTTCTGCAGGGACCTCCGGCTTTCTTTCTCTTAAGGCCTTCAACGATTTAGGTGAAGTCCACTCACATTATATGTAGAAAAGGGTAAGCCTCTGTTCTACATATCTATTAACATTTCAGTGTTAATCTCATCTAACAAATACCTTCGCAGAAATATTTACACTGGGTGTTTGGCCTGATATCTGGGTTTGCAGCCTAGCCAAGTCAGCACAAAATTACCCGTGACAACCACCAAGTTTAGGATGGCGTATTATGGGTCAAGAGCGTCTGGTATACTTTGTAAGCATCATCTCCGCTGGCTTTTCAACCCTGCATACTCAGCTGTCTTAAGAATTTTTTGGCAAAATTTTGCAAAATATAGAAATTTTGAAAAGCAAAATTGTTTTTCTCTGTGAAATTTTAAGCTTTTAAGATATATGAATGTAGCAAGTGGTGTGAAAATATTGGCAGTAGTTTTCTATAAACACTTTCTCTTTGTGACTGCAGCTGGATGGTGCATATATATGCTCAGGAGTGAATCAAGGCAAATAGGTGTCTTGCCTGGAGGATGGCTTTGATTGTTGGGTAGAGAGTTTTTAGGTGCTCCTCTATCAGTCGTTGGCAAATGTTAACTGACTTTCTCACCTGGTACATACTGGACTGTGTGCTAGACATCCAGTCTCAACATCAATGTCTGTTCTGTGGGTGTAACACAAAGCTAGGGTATCCTTTTCCTTTAGGATTGGAATAATTTCCCTAAAGCAATTTGCTCTTTTTCATGTTCTGTCTCTATTCTGTGTATTTAAGTACTTTCACCAGAATAATGTGTGCTGGCTGTTCCCAGGTAGGAAATCACCTGCTCCTTTCCAGTCCCAGCTCCACACGCAGTGTAGAAACGAACGGAGCCACCACAGCACTCTGTGCTAGTTTTCTTCCTTCATTTTGTCCACAGATCTCTTGAGGCAAGGATTGCAAGGAGTGTGTTGTGTGTCTGCATTTTAGCAGCATAAAAGAGTTTAAAAGCATTCCAGTATGGGTATTTCCCATGATCCTGATTAAAAGAATAATTGGATGAAAGTGCTTCTCACTTGAGATCTGCAAAGCTCTCCAAACACAGCTAGAGATTGGCTTCTGACTTGTCTTCCATCCTGAATAAGGCAGTCTGCCCTCCTCCTTGTAAATTTCCCGTCTGACTGCAAACATTCTAAGTACATCCTAGTATTGTGTGGATAAAACTGATGTTAAAAGTTGATATAATCCTAGTAAGTGCCATTTACAGGAGCCTTATTACACTGGCTAGCCAACTTGTAAACATTCTCTAATTTAAAACTTATGACAATCATGTAAGTTAGGGACCAGATTAAGAAAACCGAGGCAAAGAGATTTACTTAATAAAGGCTTTGCCTATGTATACTCAGCTAGTAAGTGGCAGGCTGAGCAGGAAAATTGAGCATGTGAAGCCAAGCCCATGGTCTGGAGCACTACACTCGATAGCCCTGACCACACCACCATTTGCGGGGTGAATGCAGTCCTAGCTCAGTGGGTAAGAGGAGCCACGCTGAGATTATCTCTGACCAACCCTTTGTTTCTTTACTTACTAGCTCTTATTCAATGGCTCAGTATCACAGTTTATCCCTCTTTAAAATTAGAATAATAATACAGTCTTCTTCTTAGGGTTGTTACAGGAATTAAGTTAATACAGGTATGGTGCTTAGAATACCACCTGGCATATACTACATGCTCCTTAAATGTTAGCTCTTCTTATAAAATTGCATGCAGCTTTTCCAGCAGGATGTCAAGTTTTTGGTTTTCTGAGCAGCTAAATCAATAATCTCATATTTTAGTTTCTAATGACTTTTAGATGAAGGTTGTATCTGTGTGATGCCGAAGGACAAATAAAATCAATTTGGGAATAAGTCAAGCCAATCGTCAATTCAATGAAAATATTAGTTAAACTCATGTTTGATGTCCAGAGGGAAAAAAATCACAATTCTTTTTGTAACAAAGCTTTTTAAAAGTCCTTCAGTTGCTTGTATGATTATGTTGAAATCAGTCTTCAATTTTTTTAGAAGGAAAAAGAAGCAAAACGGGTGGAGACGTTAAAGCTTTTCCAGTGTGGTTCACACTTCCACACTTCCATGCTCTCCAAGGGTCTGCAGAAGGTCTTGGAGCAACACATGGAGAGATCAGAATGATGGGAGTCAGGCTTGGCTTTCCCCAGGAGTGTTCTAGGTTATGGCACGAACATCTCGGGAAGATCATCACTTGTTCTGTAATTCAGCTTTTCCTACTGTAATTAGTGGATGTAACTTTTTTACCTGGCTGCTGCCTGAGGGGCCTCAGAGCACTCGCAAGGCACTGGGCGCCTTGTGGGTGCTTCGAATGGACAGCACAGAGACACGGTGCCAGTTGGCACTGCCATGTTTTTTTTTACGGGGTTCCGTGGAATTATAAATGTCCCATTTACAATTTTGTTTTTAAATGCACGTTCTTTCAAAAGGTTGTTACTTAACAACATGTTTTCTAAATGTTTTAGAAAACTGGGAAAATACAGAAAGCATAAAGAATAAGATAGAAATCATGCAGAATCTCATCATCATATGGTGGTGCATTTATCTCTAGTAAATGGTTGAAGTGTTTGCATGGACTAGGGATGTATGAAGTTGAAAGACAAAATGAAAACCTGATTATTCTTGTCAGCCCTAAGAATGGTGTCAGCACTTAAAACAACTTATTTTATTTTAGCTTTAAAAAAGCATGTTCTTTTGAACTGCAATAAAGCTAGGATTATATTAACCTGAAAGGGGAGTTGTAAGTCAAAACAAGGCTTTATTATAAAAAATTAAATAATAATAACACTGTGGAGATAACTTGCAACTCTGTATAAAGAATTGTGATTGTGCTACTTTGGGGCAGAGGGTTTCCTGTTTGGGTTGCGATTTGCAGAGCTGGTGATTTTTCAGGATTGATAAGTCTAAAAAATCAAGGACGTGAGGCTCCTAGGCGGGTCACAGAGGCTCAGTGTCCCTAGACCACCCTCCCGCAGCCCTTGGGGAAATGCCTGACTGACTGTGGGCTGTCACCCAAACTTTTATCTAAACGATGAGATGCTCTTCCCACTAATGGATGAACGTGTAAGAACTGGCTGCCTGAAACAGCGGCAAGGTGTCAATCACTGTCTGAGGCCACATCAGCCCTGGCACCTGACTTGTTTTCCATGTGCTCCTTTCTTGGGCTACACAACTAAGCATAATTGTTTTTAAGGTCAAATTCCTGAAATAGACTTCACATCGTGTCCTTTTCCCACGGGCGGCAACTCTCCTGGTACTGTGGGGGTTAGCTTACCAACTAAGATTTAGAGCAAAGCAAGGCGCTGTCGGCACAGGCTTTGGGCGCTGGTGGTGCGGTAGGTTGTGCGGGGCAGGTGCAGCCCCCTGCGCCCCTTGTCTTCGCCACAGCCACAGCAGGCCAGGCCGGCCCATCCATTATGTGTCTAGGATGTCTCAGGGGCTCCAGGCTGCTGCGCCATTTACAGCACACCCTACTCCCTGATCTGTGGTATGGGAGCTGTGCTCATTGGCCAATAAATCACCGTGTCAAGTGAACAGCCCGTGTCCAAGGCGAGCGACCTGGAGGTCGGCATAGCAGCGTGACATTGGATGCCCGGGTTCTGCTCCTGCACACAGTGTCCCGACATCAGAACATAAATTTTCAAATACCATACGTGACAAAAGACATCGAGCTGTTTGTTTTTTGAAGTAGAGGAAAAGTAGACCCCAAATACATTTTCTGAGATGTGCCCTCAGCTCCTCACTGATCCTGACGCATGGAAGGAAGGAGGGGAGGATGGTGAAGAGCATCAGCACGGGACAGCAGGCCCCTGCCCTGGCTGTCTGCCCCATGTTGTGGGTCTTCAGGCTGCTTTTCTACTCCTTGGCTGAACAGAAACACAGTCCCGTGAACTATTTGGCAGCAAGTTCAAAGCAAAGGATACTAACTGTGAGGCATCTTAGACAATGCCTGGCCCCATTTGACAAATAATGACACATGTCCCGACTCACTCACCATCTCAGGAGCAGATGACCAGGCTGAGGAACTGTGCCCACTGCCTGCAGCCCACCTGGCTTTCCACTGTGACGTCCTGTCTTTTCAGGACTGAGCAGAGGTGGGTTTATAACAAGCATAAATTTTTGTTTTGTAGCTGTCTGCACATCAATTTATATATCTTGAAATTTAAAAGAAATCCACTGATAAAATTTTTTCTTGCAAGTTAGTTAAGGACACTAGATAAATGGAAAGTTCTTAGGTTGTGAAAGTATTTATGTGAATGTGTTATGTGGGAATCATTTCAAAATGAGTTAAAGGAATCTAGGATAGTTTGCTCTCTGTCCCTAACCTTTGGAGCTGGATTTTGTGGGAGGTGTTTATACCTTATCACTTTTGGAGCCATTTCCAGAGGGAGAAACTTGGGAGTGGGAGGGTGGCGTTTGTGGTTGCCCTGCTTGCCTTGAATGTGTGGTTGCCACAGTGTGCAGGCTTGTTTTCATGAGGGTCCACACATACGTCGTTATGGAGAACATATTTTTGTATTTACTTCAATATTTATTTTGTAGTGAAAATAAAAACAATACCAGTTTTCTGAAGCGTTCTTCAGTCAACTCTTTTGTGTCCTGTAGAGCAATACTTTGCGCCTGGAGAAGTCTATGAACCATGGTGTCTTTGGTTTTTCTCATTAGAAAACACACCACATACCATAGACTTTCCCTCATGTATGCGGGAAGATAATACTCTGCAAAGTAGCCTTTATGGTGAAGCCAGTTTCCTGTGCTCTGGTACTCTGCAAAAATCACATCTGGATAGAGAAGAAACCGGTGACAAGATGTCTGTCTCTCAATCCGGGCAATGAACTGACTCATATTGGTGGGGGTGATGGCGTTGGTGCCAGCGATGGTGAGATATATATTTTAAACGTCAGCAAGAATAGAAGAGAGAGAAAAAGAGGAAAGGAAAACAGCTGCTAATCTCTTGAGTTTGTTTTCTGGGACAAGTAACATCCACATAAGTTTTATGGTCTCCATCTGCATGCTGAGGCCGGCTGCCATTCCTGCCGTCCACCTGGATTTGCACGTCTGTGGTTCTGTAGAGCGAAAGTTTTGCGATTCACAGCAAACATGGAAAAAATCCCCACCCTCCTGGTGAAATGGTTCTGGTATTTAGATTCACAGGCTATATAGACAATAATTTCTGAAAAGGGTGTGTATTTAATGTGTTGACTGAGGAATTGAAAAGCAGGGTTGTTTACAAAAGACTCAAGTGCAGAATTACAGGAGGTGCTGAGTGTTAGCTCAGCAGTCTCCTGGTAGGTACTTTTCATTCATTTCTCTGTAGCACATGGCGTATTCATTTCTAATTTGTTGAAGAATTTAGTGCAAAATTTGGAGCACAATTATTAGGGCCAACGGCAACCCACATATGTGAAATTTTGAGGACTTCTACAGATTTTATAGATTTGGTGCCGTTCCACAGCAAACTATAAAATTATTATTGCAGACCAGAAAGTTGTAAAAGTTAAAACACAAAATATCGGAATTATAGGGCCCAGCAAAACGTGCAAGAAACAGTTAAGTCATCAGGCTCATCCGTATCATTTGGTATTCTAATGCTTCATTTGGGTAAATATTTTTATTAGATTCTTGTCAATAATTTCTGAAAATGGGCTGATAATTTTGTTTTCATAGTTGGTGATTGTATATAGACAAAAGGTTTGAAAGAGGATGGGATTTCTACTTTTGAGATAAAAAGTTTGGCATATTGTATTAGTTCTACCTCTTTAGTTTTATTACTTTTTTCAGTTCTTATTTTGTTTTATTTTTGAATATGGTATCTGCTGTTTGTTGATACTGGTGAGTTAAAAATTTATCAGCTTCAGCCATATGTCTATCTGTTTTTTTGTTATGTACGTTTTGGGGCTTTTTAATTTGCTATATTAAAGTTTATTCATGCCATATCTTTATTATTAGCTAGCCAATTTAACATAATACAGTGCTCTTTTAACTTAATAAAAGACTTTAAATTCTGCATTGCCTGAAATGATACTACCAAATCTGCTTTTCTTTTGTATCTATTTAATTAGTTACACTGTATCCAGTCCTTAATTTATGACCTCCTGATTCAGCTTTCGGTTATGTTTCTCAGCAGCAACATCTTGTAACATTGTGTTGTCAGATTTTGTTTTAATTCAACTGAAGAGGTTGTAAACATGGATAGTGGAATTTAAGCCTTTAGCACCCAATGCCAATTTATTCCGAATGGTTTAAAGTCGTGATCCTTTGTTTGTTTTCTTTGCCTCTGGCTTTATACAGACCTGCCTGCAGCAGTGAGAGGCTGAGGAATGCAGTCAGGAAATCTCTGCACTCCATCTAGGGCCTTTGCCATCTAGAAAGAGGCCGGGTCCTCCTTGCGTGTTTTCTGGGTGGAGTCTCTCACACACTGACGCTTTCTTGAAAGCTCACACCCTGTACTTTCACGCTCACTCACTTCCCACCCTCACACCTCGCACATTCATGTATATAACGTTTGTGTTTAAAAGTTAGCCTTTAGGGGTGACTGATGCTTTGCTGGGTGATAGGCCAAGCACTGTGAAGGGACGGCGTGAAAGCGAAAGACCCCACACACCGGGAGAAGTTCTCGCTGATTTGGGAGCTGATGCCTGGTGAACACTGACCAGGATTTATCCTCTGGGCAGTAGAGAGGTCGGGGCAGGAATGGTTCTGGATCAAGATGAGCACTTAACTTGGTTATTTTCTTCCTGATGTTCATCAGCAGAAAGCAGTGCTTTCATGTTATCTTCTACTCCATGGATTTAAACATTGTGTTTCTGTATAATAAGCCAAACTGTGTATTTTTTACATTACACGTGATTTAAAAATAATATTCCTAAGTTTCTAGGGGGTGTCTGTTCATTCATTCTCTTGCTGTTCACAGTAAGTCGTAGCTACTACTGATTGCATCTCTTTAATGTTCTTTGCAGCACTTACCCCAGCCCCTGCCTATGGCACAGGTATTTCTAGTTGATAGATGAGGAACCCGAGGCTCCTGTAGGGAATGAGACTCAGAGCACATATTTAACCCACCTCTTGGCTCTAGCAGTCCTCATTCTTTGTTGTTCAACGAGGGCCCCACCTGGGACCCTGTCTGTCATGCACCAGGCTGGAGAAGGGCCTGGGTTAGGGAATCCGTTTTGGTGAAAGCAGATGCTTACAAAACCAGGGAGGAAAAAAGAAACTCTCATCCTCTCGTCTTTGCCGTAGAGGAAACATGAGGACCAAGATGCTTTTCAAGCATGGACTTGCTTTCCAGTGGGGCCACTCTAACGTTTAAAAAGGGCGAGCCTGAAAGCAAAGTAGTAGATGTTGAATGAGATTACCTCAGCACCAAGCAGTCTGCATGTGAGTGTAGCTGTTTGCAAGAAAAACTGCCAGAACCTGGGCACCCTGGGGGCCCGAGATGCTACTGTGGGGAAAGGGGTAGTCTGCATGTGAGTGTAGCTGTTTGCAAGAAAAACTGCCAGAACCTGGGCACCCTGGGGGCCCGAGATGCTACTGTGGGGAAAGGGGTGTAAGGATATCAGTCTATGGGTAGCTGAGCTTCACATTGACCCTGCTTGCAGGGACACAGGGTTGAGAGTTCTCAGTGCTCTTGCTGCCAGGCAAGTCAGAGCAAGCATCTGGAGCCAGTTTGGGACAATTCGCTTGTTGCTCCACACTCTTTCTGCAATCCTACATGGTTTTCATGTTGTTTGGTAAATTCTGTTTTTTAATATCTCAGCAGGAGAATGTGTTTTGTGGAAGAAATGACCAACTAGTAGAATGCCTTCCATTTGTAATAAAATCCTTGCTGGGTTTGAGTTAATAGGCCTCCAAGGAAGAACGAGTTAAAATAGAACTGGACAGAGTGCTAAATAAAAGACTGTCCTGCATAATCCACTGCCCTCAAGGGAGAGAACCAAATGACTCAGTATGGGTTTTCCATCTTCAATTTCAATAGCCTGGTGTCAGGATCAAGCAGCAGAACACACTGACCACCTCAGTATGCTCCCTGCATTCAGAGTTTCTTTTCCCACGGTCTCCTCTGCTCCTCTGATGCCACCTCCAAGA